TGATATTGGAATTCCATTTTAGGGAGTTACCCAGCTTATTTTCCCCAGATCAGATGTTTAACCTTTTGCCCACTCACTTCACAATGTAGTGAATAAATCACAACCTAAGCACATTCTGTAAGCTCATTCTGTTACATTCAACTATTTATTCACTATTTATTCCACTTGCTTAATTGTCCCCCAACAATAAGCTTACCTGATCCTGTTCTGTCAGTTAGCTAGTTTAAATAGGCAACCATTTTAGTGAGCTACCAAGTTCTACAACTAGCATTTTTCCCAGATCTTGTGTTTAATTTTAAAATAGTTAAATAAAGTGTTGGTTCATTTTGCAGTATGCATTTTATTTATTTATTTATTTATTGGCGAGTTAGCCTTTTATGCAGAATGAATCATGACCATTCTTCCTGGACCAGGCAAGTTGCAAGCTACATGGATAATGCATGCAAACTCTGCCTTTATTCCCAAACTGACATGAAAAGACAGGCGATCCATCAACGATTTTAAAACAGAGCAGCGCTGGCAGAGATTTCAATTCTTCTGCCAAATAGCAGCCACTCCTGTGACAGATTTACAAATAAACTCCGACCACTTCAGATGTAGGCTTCAGTCTTGTACACTTACAGAGACTGGTCCAGGCATTTCTTATCAATTTAAGCAGAATGCCAGCGCTTAAACTTGGCACTGCCCCTTAGTGGTGGGCCCTGCCCCTTGTGGCATGCATGTGCTTTTTAACAAGGTTCCAGTCAGTCAGTCAGTCAGAAAGGGGCACAGACTCTTACAGCCCATAGCCTTTGGGTCTGAAAATGATACACTTAAAAGAAGCCATTTGCAGAGATCTGAGGAAGAATTTAGGGCTGGACAAGCTGTCTATTGCCTCAAATTATGTCTCCACCCAGGAAGGAGGGGAGACATATTGTTTTTGTACGGTTTCCCGTCTGCGTCTGCGTCAGTGTTCTCACTGTTTCCGGGCTGTAACTCGGAAACCGTTTAAGATATTTGCATTAAACCTTGCACACTCTTTCAGCATTGTTTGTAGATGTGCCTTTTACTGTCTTTGAACATCAATGAGGGGGGGTTGTGTTTGGGTGGGGGAGACATTTGTTTTGGTTTTTTTTTTTGCCTTATAAACAATCTCTAGTTTCTATTGATGTAACACTTTTCCACTTCATAATGTTCAATCATGCATTGTCAATTTACAGCAATGACTGTTGTCTCCTTGCAACACTGCATACAGGATGCATAAGAGGCTAACTGCTTCACTGTTATGTTGCTAAGGATGTGGGCCTTTTCCTCTAAATTGGAAATGAAATTTTAAGTCCACTAGAAAGCATTAGTTATCTGCTGTGGTGCATCATATGATGGAACAGTTGCAAACCCAGTGCGGTGTTGAGGTTGCCACGGCATTAACGTAGGCACTTAGTGTCTGCCTTCCCACTCATACACGATGGTGGTTAGGACAGATGTGGGTTTCAAAAGTTTCATTTTTAGTAATGAATTTAATGGAATCTGCCAGCTCAAAACTTCTGATGACGTATGGAACGGAAAGACTGCCAGAGTTTCCTATGTTTGTCTCCGTAATTAAAGTGAGTTTATTACTCAGATCTAAATAAAGTAAGGGTCTCCCCACTGGACCAAGCCACTGGCACTGGACTGCATATGCTACTGCTCAGCGCACTGCACACAGCAGATGGTGCCCAAGGACCTGAGTGCGAGTGTGTGTCTGTGCGTGTGTGTATGCGTGTGCGTGTGGGCATGTATGTGTGTGTGTGCGCATGTGCGCGTTGGCGTGTGTGTGTGTGCGTGTGTGCGTTGGCGTGTGTGTGTGTGTGTGTGTGTGTGAGCGCACGTTGGCGTGTGTGTGTGTGTGCGCGCGCGTGTGCACGTTGGCGTGTGTGTGTGTGTGCGCATTGGCGCGCGCGTGTGTGTGTGTGTGTGTGTGTGTGCGTGTGTGAGTGGAAGTTGGGGGGAGAGGAGGCCCTGCATATGGGCACTTGGTACGCTCACATTTTCACACCAGCAACCAAATCCACCTGAACCCGGAATTGATATGTAGCATCTTTCAGACTCAAACAGAGGCCATGTGCACAAGGAAAATGTTCATGACTGCAGGGTGTTGTAGCATCCTTCTGATTACTCACAGCCGGCCCTGTAACAGAACTGAAGAGAGAAGGTTTATGGTCTGTGATCCCCTGTCACTTGTTTCTCTGATGTGTATGGAGCAAATCGGTGGTTTCATTATTATATGTACTCCAGGAGGTAACGTTTTTACCAGCGTTCATTCATTCATTTGTTCATTTGTTTATCAGTTAATGGAATATCTCAAAAAATAATGATTGGATGTAAATGCAATTTCGTTTATGCGATATGGTGCCGAAGAAGAAGTGATGATCCAACTCATATTCTCGGTTCAGGAGCCGAAAGAATTTCTGTGCATGTTATGACAGCAGTAGAGACTCATTTAACACTCACGTTCAATGATAATTCCCCCTTCAACAAATCGCAACACAGACAAAGTGAAAGAATTTCTGTGAGTGTTAAGACAGCATTGTCCAGAGTTGTTTAATACTCAGGTTCAATGAGAGGTTAGTTAACTGGGATTAGGGAGCCAAGGAACAGTCTTAATGGGTGCATCTTAAACCTGCATTAGAAGATTGGCAGGTGGTAGCAGTTTAGAAAGGTCTAGTTGGGGTGAATAGGTAGATGTTCTTACAAAGACACAGAAGAGCAGCCGCTTTGGCTGGCCATCAGTGAGATAATATCAGCAGCCAAAGAAAGCAAATGAGGGGGGAGTCATATCAGTTGTGAATCAGCATGTAAACTTTGCACTGCCCCTTGTGGCAGGCATGTGCACTTCAACAAGGCAGATCAGCTAGTCCATCAGTCACTCACTTAGTAAGGGATGGAGACTTTCACAGCTCATACCTACTGGGTCCAGACACAATGCACATAACAGCAGCCATTGGTGGAGGTGTGGGGAAGAACTTAGGCTTTTAAAAGATGATTGCTGCCTCGAATTTCTATTGATTGAACACTTTTCCTCTCTATAATGCAGTTACTGAACTCTTTGTCCCCGGATTTTTTGTCCCCGAACTTTTCATCCCTGAATTTTTCATCCCTAAAGACTTTTTGTTCCCAGACTCTTCATCCCTGAAGCCTTTTTGTCCCTGAACTCATCATCCCCAGACTTTTCGTCCCCGGATTTTTTGTCCCCTAATGATAACAAAACGTGCCACCATTTTTGACAGACGAATGGACAGACAGGCGACGGACAGATCACCATCATATAAGGGTTGGGGGGGGGGGGGGTTGGGTTAGTGCCTCCTGGCTCAGTATCAGGGCACTTTGTACATTCACATGTCACACCAGCTGCCAAATCCACCAGTACCTGAAACTCAAATGTAGCTTCGTCCAGACTTGCATGGATACCATGTCAACAAAGAAAATGCTCCTCCGACTAGTTACGGCTGGCCCTGTTACAGAACTGCAAAGAGAAGGAGGTTTATGGTTTAATCCCTAAGAGATCCCCTTTCTCTTGTTTCTTTGATGGAGCAAATCTGTGATTTCATTATTATACTTTATTATTACTTTATACTTTTATACATTCATAACATGTTTTCACCAGCATACGTTTATTTATTCATTTGTCAGTTAACGGGCATCGCAAAAGGTAACGGATGGATGTCAATGAAATTTTGTATGTTGATAGATATGGTGCTAAGGAGGAAGTGATAAAATTTTGGAGATGATCCCACTCAGTTTCCTGATCTTCAAATTTCTTGAAGAATTTTAATGCACGTTGAGACCACACTGTCGAGACTCGTTTAAAATTCAATGCAATGATAATTCCTCTGTCAATGAGTTGCAACACAGCGGTGGCAATCCACTGTCCGAGTGCCTTCCAGTTCTTGTTTTAATTGTCAGCACCTTGCTCAAAAATCAAGGTTAGGATTAAACATTAAACTGATAGGTTGCTCAACATCTTACTCTATGACTCAATGAAGTGAGGAAAAGAGCAACATTTCAGAGTTAATTTCAACTTAACAAACTATCAAGTACTATTGGAAGCAAAATACCAAAAAAGCTAACAAAGTTTAGTTAGCCAGAGAATCTCGCAGCCCACATCATATGGGATCAGGAACATTACACGTCAAAGTAGCCAATGGAAGAAGTGTAGGGAACAATTTAGGCCGGAACAACATAAATTTCTATTGCTTTTACACTTTGCCTGTACATAATGCTTAAAGTAGACATGTATTGATTTGAAACTTTATAAAAAATTGTTGTATTTAGTATCATCCGAAAGGGCATGCAATACTCTCTCTAATTATCAACATTTTTCACCAGGAGGTAATAATAGAATAGAGTAATACTGGACGTGAAATGGGCTTTTAGCCACCCCCAATATCGGCCTTGAACAGCACTGTGAATCAGGCCACGAGCTGTGATGTCACTCGTGGGATCAATTGTGACACATAGGCTATCGTATGTGTATTTTACATTGTAAGCAAGACGTCAAAATCCAATAAAAATATCAGAATTTTTTTAACCCTGCTTGACTTGGACATATGCAAAGATACAAAAATCGAGTATACAAAGATATATATTTTTTTTTAAATTTGGCATCTCCAATCCCACCTGAATCTGGAATGCCCAATTGGTGAACTATGTACAACACTTGCTCGTATGCGACCCCTTGCTGCCAATTCAGGAGAGTGTAGACAGTTTGCGGCTCTCCTCCGAAGCACGCGCCTGTCAGCCACCGCTTCTTATACACTCATTGGTTAAATCTTCTCAAGTTCAGAACGAGGGCGGAGGATACCCGGACATGAGCAGGCTTAGAATCTTCCTGACGAGCGCCCGTCCGGCCAACAGGAGGCGCTTGAGCAACGAACAAGGCAACTGTTATTTTCCCCTCCCGGCAGTCCCTTCCCAATTTGCAACCCTGTAGTGCAATAGCCAATTGTGCGCTACTCTGAAAAAGCTGCCGACCATTGCCGGCTGGCACGAAGCGGGGATCGAACCCGCGATATTCACTTCTGCTTCGTAACGCGATGCTTTACCAAGTGAGCTATCCAGCAGCAAAAATATATACAAAAATATTTTGAGCAATTAGCAAGCCCAAATCCAGACACTTGTGATGCAAAATAGCTGCCCACCAGTTCCATCGTCCTTATTGGGATTTGAATAAAGTACTTTGGAAATCATCTAATGTACATAAAACTTCAGATATATGTGGATAATTATATGAATTACCACTTTATTATAGGTTTTAAGGACTCTTTAGTTTCTATGAGGGAAAGTAAGGCAGACTTTTACGACCCAGAACTTTGTCAAGGAAAGTTTCACACTTCTGCTCGCTGCACTGAAAAAAATTGAAAACAAGATATTACAAGGACGTATGCTCTGCGTCATCAACAAAAACATACTTTTTTTTTTTTTTTTTTGGCATCGCCAATCCCACCCGAATCTGGAATGCCCCCGGCTGGCCAACTGGAGGCGCTTGAGCAAAAAGCAATGCTATAATTTTATAATCCCAAATCGGCAGTTCCTCCCAATTCAATTCCCCGCTGGGCTAAACCAATTGTGCCCTGCTCTGAAAAGGCCGACGGTGGCGTGATCCAGGCTCAAACCCGGGCCATGGTGCTCACTACTGTGCCGCCGAGCGGCACCTTAACCGGGTGACCTAACCCAGTAACTCAACAATAACATATTTTTTAACAAGCATAAATCTAATTCTGTTATGATTCTGCCCTGCTTGACCATGTTCTGCCCATGATTCTGCTTTGTCTGACCATGTTTTGAATATGATTCTGATTCCACGCCATGTTTTGTTCTTGCTTTGTCTGTATGTATGCCATATTCCATTCCCTCAGTTAGATTCCGGTTCTTGTTTTGTTTCTTGCCATGCATTGCACTTTGTCTCCCCTGTCTGGTCTCATGTCATGTGACTGCTCATTGCCCCAGTATTATGTGCCACACTTTCGGGTGATTTCATGGTTTCTGGGATTTCAATTATTCCTTCTAATCTCATTTGCTTCCTTCGCCTTGCCGTTCTATCATTACTAACAGTACTAACAGTTTGTTATTTTAGTTAAAGATACTAACCAAGACTAACATTGTTTAAAGTACTAACTTACTAACGAGCACTAGGGATTGTATAGCTGCACTTTACTAATTGACTAACGAGCTCTCAGCATTCGCCCTATTCTAGTCTCCGCCCCTTGTCTTTACTCAATCTACTTTGCTGCGCTTCAGCGGATCCTCCGCACCTGTGAGACTCTGTTCTGCCTCTCATTATCTGTGCACGTTAGAACTCCCTAACCGGAGCCGTATGTTTGTCAATAGGCTGTCTGTGTGATTCCCGTCCGTGTCTTGGCTTTCGCCTATTTCCATGGTTAGGGTTTCTCTCATGTGATTCACCCATTGTAATTAGTCTGATCCAGCTCACCTGTTCCCTATCATAGCATGTGACTTCCCCTACGTGTATTTTAGCAGTCATTTCACAACCAGCCTCTGTCAGAACGTTTCCCTTGTGCTACGATCGTTTATGCCTTGTAATCTTTGTGATTCTTTTCTGACTGGGCTGTCCCCGTTTGTGATTTTGGCTCTGATTTGGATTTGTTTGCATCCGTGTACCGAACCCTTTTTGCCCAACCACAAGTTTTGTGTTTGCTGCCCTGTTTACAACTTGGATTACGTCCCTGGGATTCTGATTTTTGGATTGTGGACTTTGTACTGTTGCTTCCTGCTCTGCGGGGCTTCACCCACACTCCTAATAAAACACAAGTTTTTTGGATTGCTTGGTTCTCGCGTCTGGTTCCTGAGCGTAACCTCAAATTCACTAGAAATATAAAACGAGACCAAGAAATGAACAAATTACGACAGGCAGACGATGGTCAATGCACTCGACTTCCCTATCTTTTGTCCCTGTTTCCCATGACTTAACGTCATCAGAAAGGGGCTATTTTCATTCAGTCTTTTTCGGGATGTTCGCGAATTGAAAGGGTGTTCAAAATGCCTTGTGTTGGTATGTGTTGGGGGTGGAGTCAGGGCTAGAAATGTACACTATAAGGCCTTGCTTTGGCCCTTCCTGGCCCTGCATGTGGGCACTTGGTACGCTCACATAATGTCACACTAGCTGCCAAATCCACCAGCACTCGAAACTGAAATGTAGTCTTGTTCAGACTTGTATGGATGCCATCTGAGCAAAGACAATGTTTGTGTTTCAGGAGTGTTGTAGCATTCCTCTGATTAGTTACTGCTGGCCCCATTACAGAAGTCTAGAAAGAAGGAGGTTAAAGATTTATGAGTTCCTCTTTCACTTGATTCTCAATGTACTATTTGGTGCAAATCTGTGGTTTCATTATTCTGATTTTAACTGCTGGCACCTTGCTAAAAAGAGTCAAGATGGAGATTAAGAACTAAACTGATGGGTCGTAAAATGTCACGCTCCTTGACTTAATGCGGTGATGATAAGAGCAATAGTTCAGTAAAATTCAACAGAATCGACCATGAAGGACTGTTGGGAGCAAAATACCAAAACATCTCAGAAAGGTAAGCTAAGGAGTAGGGAAGCCAAGAGACAGCATTAATGGGTGGGTCTTCAGTTTGCATCAGAAGATTGGCAGGTGGTAGCTAAATGGTCTGGCTGGAGTGAAGATTTTCATGCGTTTTCGAAAATAAAGAAGAGCAGCCCTACTGGCTGGCCATCTGTGAGTTGACATTAGTAGTTAGAATGAGAAATTTGGAGGGTAGTCACATTAGTGGTGAGTCAGGTAAGCCGAGGCATTCTGGATGCTGTGTTGAGGCCAGATGCAAGCGTTCCGTTAAGGAAGAATGCAGGAAGCTCGGTGCAGTGGGAATTCCATTTATGCAGATGGAAAATGACCAACACATAGATTGGGTGCAGGGTTTAGTAAGAGCTCAAGATTCAAAACATGTTTTGCAGGAAGAATCTGCACACCCAACATTCCACCAGGTTGCTTTCAGGGATATTATTTATTGTTCTGTTCTACTTCAACATTCTTAGCCGAGGATTAGTGTAATGCTGTAGGGTGTATGAACGGTCAAGCCGGAGGACTTAGCTGGGCAGTACAGCACCTCAGTTATATCAAAGTTGAGCCTTGATTGTTGATTTTTTGCTCTCCAGTTTCAGTTGGCATGTGCCCAAGAAGAAGTGCAACATGGAAAGGAGAGAAAAAGTTGATTGCAACGAGAATATTTTTCAAAAAGTCTGTCTCATCAAGTATTTTTGTCTTGCAATCTTTATTTTTTCCCAGTCAGGTTCAATTGTCTAGTTTTATTAACGAATTTAGTCAAACTGTTTGTTCAATTGAAGAACCTAGTGTTAAAAGCACTTTTGTCACATTCTCACACATCGCAAGGTAAGGATGAGCAAACATCTTTTTTTATTACCGGAGTCGATTTTCTCACTTTTCTCAAACTAGACATATTGTGACTTAAGTACTTTTAGAATTGGGGTCTTCAATTTTTAATCTTGTTCAGCAAAAATATGAGAAAAAAATTGATAATTGATTCCATCAATCAATCCATTTCCTGCCTACTTTGTCCAAGTCAGGGTTGCTGAGGCAAGGTGCCTAAGTATGAGTCACCCCACAAATTTCTTTAGCTCATCTTTGGGAATTCCGGAGGCTATCCCAGTCCAGCTGGGAGATATAATCCACACATTATGTGGCAGGTCTGCAACTGGGTAACCTCCTCGGTGGATGTGCCAGGAAAAGTTCAAAAGTGAGGCGCCCAAGAAGTATGCTTATCAGGTCCCCAAATTGCCTCAACTGAGTCCTCTGAATGTGGAGGAGCAACTATTCTACTGTGTGGTCCCTCCTGGCGGCTGAGTTTCTCATCCTATCAAGGTCAGCAATCTCCACAAAAATGAAATTTTTAAGTCTAAGTGTATGATAGTGAGACGTGTATTTTTTAGATTTTGCTGTGTAGCAGTGGCAAAATAAGAGGCAATGGGGAAAGAACATTGGCCCCGGCATTATACCCTGTGGGACACCTGCATGAACTAACTCTAAATATTTTGGCCAGAAATTAATCGATGCACTTTGGTCCATACTTCAGATAGCAAATTTTGTCCTTATAATATTTTCTTCTATTTTGCAAAATCACTGTTCAGCACTGTTGCATTTTCCTTCATCAACACACCATGCCCCTTTTTTGAGGATGCAGCATACAGTGATGATTTAATAGTCGCAAAAACCTGCTGGCTTACAGTTCAGTGACTAATGTCCACCTTTTCAGCCATTACATGGGAATATTTCATAAAAAGAGTGTATTCAGTGGAGATTGGGAGGATCAAAGATTGATATCAGTGTGCAGGGAAGGGAGAGTCAGACATGTGTTTATTGAATGTTCTCAGTGGTAAATATTTGGAGCAGTTGTTTAAGGCAGATGAATACTTTCAGCTAAAGGTCAAGATGTCATATATGACAAGCTCTGGCATTACATTCTGGGCAAAGCTGAATTCTGATAAACACACTGAAAATTATCCTCTGGAATAATTTGGGGGCTAGTCCATGGAGCATGAAAATTAACCTCTATCCCCCTCTTAAGCCTGGGGATCCAAATATATTTCCATACTGACAGAGGACAAATTTTCTCAGTGATCTGTTTTTCTGTAATCAGGAATAGTTTAGAGGCTTTAAATCCAAGATTTATTTACCACAACCCTTAAAATGCATTTATTTGTTATTTTATTTATTTTTTCTGTATCTTCATGGTTGCATGATTTGTATAACCAATCAGGGTATATAGTTGTGAACGCCCCCCACAACCCCTAAAATAACAAAGGGAGCCAATGTATCTCGCTCCCCCCTCCCCCAATGTTTGAACTGAAGTTACATCCCTGATCACTATTATTATCTAATGAGGTTTCTGGTCTGGTTCAAGGTATCTTATCGAAATCCATATCATTATAGCAAAACCATGGGTCCCCAAATCCGGCTCTCAAATCCAAAAAATCCAGCCCTGGTTTTCTTCCCAAACTGGCAATTAAGTGAACAATTGCTTCTGATTAGCCAGAATGTTGACTCTTTGGTATTCTGGGTTGAGCTA